CTCCTCACTGCTGGCCCCAGGGCTATGCAATGGCTAATACAGTATTGCCAACTTCAAGGGATCAAATCTCATGAGATTGGCCCAGCAATCATGACATGTTTAAAAGGATTCTATTGTGGTTTCTAGGTCAGTCTCTGGATGTTTGAACTCCCCTGGCCCCTCCCCAGGGTGTGCGCATGTGACAATCAGTGTCGCCCACTCGCCCACATGTCCTGGAGAAGGGGATTTTGGCTCCTGCTGCAGGAGCTCTCACCCCCCATCTGTCCGTCTCCTGCCCAACAATTAATCCTGTTCCCACCCAGCCCCCATCAGTTCTGTTCCCATCGAACCCCTCTCAATTCACTCTCCCAGCCCCCACCATCACCGCCCCATCAGTTCAGCACCCCTACGCCACCGCCCTCAGTTCACCCTCCCAGCACTCACCCTATCTGCTCAGAACCCACCAGCAATACAGCCCCCCCAGCCCATCAGCCCCCCACTCACTTCAGGCCCCCTGCAGCCCCCAGGCCATAATAAAGCCCTCCCAGCCCCACCTTTGCTCCTCCTGGGGTTCTTCATCCTCCCTAGGCCTGGGGGCTACAGTGGGGTCCCCTCTCCCACTTCCCAGGCTGGCCAGGGAGCAGCCGCCCTGGGGTGGTGACCATGGGAGCCCCAGCCGTGCCCAGGGCAGGTGACAGGATTTCTAAGTAACATTAAGCCTCATTTTTAGAACTCTCAAATGTCGGGATTTTTTTTCAGCCACGGCTCTATGGTGAGATCATGAGTGAGGCTTAATTTTACTCAGAAATCGCATCTCTCACAATTAATTCATGAGAGTTGGCATGTCTGGTAATAGGTGATGTCTATCTAACCCCTTTGGACATTTTGAACATTTTTACTTTTGATTTATAAAGTAGAGAGAGGAAACAGAAATGTCCATTTTTGTATGTTGAATTTTCCAATTCTTCACTGTACCACTTGTGCATTTGCTAATAATAATAATATTGCCAGGGGATGTGATGTATGGGCATAAAGAGTTCTGAAAATGAGGTGAGATGTTCCTCTCTGATTTTCCAAAAGGCTCACTTTTAAACTCTTAGAAATCTACGGAGATACACTGCTTGCCCCCTCTCCCGCACCCCAACCCGTCTGCTTAACCCAACCACTAGTTACAAATTCTAAATTCTAAGACAGAAAAAAATCGACTTTTCTCTTTTTAGGAAAGATCTGGGCAGCCACCAGTAATATGTTGCTCAGCTCCTGTCAAATGCAAAATTGAAACAAAACCTCAACTATGGTGCTGCCAATGAGCAACCATAATTCATATGAAACTTTTCACTCCCCCTTTGATCCCAGAAATTTACCTTTGTCCCACTGAGGTTTAGATGACAGTGAGTCTAGAGGAAGAAATGGGTGAAAAAGACGAAATGTCAGGTTGTCATGTTGAGGAATATATTCACATTGTTAATGTTCTAACACAAAAGCAAAATGAAAACAAAACAAACTTTATGAAGTTCTAGTTAAGGAGGTTAAGTGCAATTCAGACCAGTACAAACCATTACACACCTCACTAAAAATAACCCCAAACATTAAAAACTAAGGACATGACCTAAGGTTACATGACAGACCCAGAGATGTTTTACAAGCAATTCAACACCTGTGGCTGGCCCATGACAGCTGACTTGGATTCGCAGGGCTGGGGCAATGGGGCTGTTTCATTGCAGGGTAGATGCTCGGGCTTGGGCAGAGGCCTGGGCTCTGGGACCCTGTGCCGGGAGAGGGTCACAAAGCCCAGGTTCCAGCCCGAGCCCAAACCTCGTGAGCCGGAGTCAGGGGACACGGGCCAGCCACAGGTGTTTAATTGCTGTGTAGAGAAACCCTCTGAAACCAACACATCACTCACAGACAGACCCACACACAGACACTTTCTCACTGATTAGCATTCAATCAGCTTTAAATCTGCCCCTGTACCATTAGTACTCAGTAAAACTGGCTCATCCTTCCTGACAGCCCTGGTGGTCTCATTCTCTCCAGCTCAGGAGGATAAAAGGTGGAGAATCTCTAAAGCAGGGGTGGGGAACCTATGGCCCATGGGCTAGATCCGGCCTGTTGCTAAATTTCATCCGGCCCGCAGCCCCCCCGGTCCCCTCCCCCACCACGGGGCTGGAGCCGCAAGTGCCGACTGTCCCCGCCGCAGGGGGGAAGCCCCGAGTCTCTGCGCAGAGCCGCGGGAACTAGGAGTGCGGAGGGTGCTGAAGCACCCCCCAGGTTTTGCGTGGGGTCCCAGCCGCTTGCCCCACGCCCAGCGTCCCAGCTGGCTGTTGGACCCCTGCCCGGGGCTCTGCCCCTGGTACCGCACGCAGGGTCCTGTCTGCTGGCCCTGCACCTGGGGCTCTGCTCCCACCCCCAGATGTGGTTCCAGCCTCAGCCCCCTTACCCCTGTCCACATCCTGCCCCACCCTCCCAGAGCCATGGCCCAGTCTTGGCCCCAGCTCTGGGGAGAGGGGGCACAGACAGGGGTAAGGGGGGTGCCAGGTAAAAGGTTTGGGGACCACTGGCTTTAAGCTCCCCCACCGGAAAAATTGTTCCAGCGCCACTGCCTAGGCCCCCTGTGGGGCTGGAGCGGAGAGCGCCGGCTCGGCCTGCTGCGGGGGGAAGCCCCTGTGCCCCCCTCTGTCCCCCTGCGGGTGAGTGGCCCGGGATTGATTTTTTTCCGTGAGTCAATGGCCCGTGGTAGAAAAAATGTTCCCCAGCCCTGCTCTAAAGCAAGAGAGGGACTGTGGTGACACCGGAGGACTTGCAGACAAAAAATCCAAACAAACATACTTCAAAAACAGTGAATTCAGCAGGAAGCCCAAGCTCAGGTTAACGTTCATAGCTGCTAAGAAAGCAAACCCCAAGGGAGTGCGAATGTAGGCCCCAAACCCAGTGTGTATGTGCTGTACTGAGAGCTGAGGAGGGAATTCATAGCTTCCAAATGATTAGTTGACTATCTCCATCCACAATCATTGTCCCTAAGAGATTTCCCCAACTCTGTCAATTATCAGTGTAACATAGGTGAGAAAATTCCCCAGGTGACTGTTTATTACCTGTGAACTTCTTCATTATGGTCTCCAGAGGTA